ACGATACGGAGAGACGATACGGAGAGACGATACGGAGAGATGATACGGAGAGACGATACGGAGAGATACAGAATGAGCCTTTTTTACTCAAATATAACTCGGAGGACTGTAGTGTCCTTTTGAATTTGACTAGGCCATTTGAACACATGAATAGATTTTTACCTACCTGGTGTCTCTGGCTGGATGTTTACAAATCCACACCACATTTTTCAGGTTCAAATTGTTAAAAATGTTTGAAAATAACATCATTAGTGTTGGTCTGTTTTATGAAATCCCAATAAAAAAACATTACAAGCTTCTCTATTTTAAAAATGGTGCCAAAAACTGACAATGAAAGGATCTACAAAGAGCAAAACAACATGAAAATTTAACGGCTTAAAGATCAGACGGACTCCTTAAAACACCAACGATGTGCAGAGACTCACCAAACAAGAGATAAAAAGTCAAACAGGCCTCAAAGAAACACAAACATCTGCAGAAACCATCTGCATTAAAACCCCAATTCCAAAATTTATTAAAATCTTTAAAAAAAACACAGAAACCTCAGTTTACCAGAGATTCAGTGAGATAAACTGGATCAATAAGGGAATCAGAAGATGAGGTGAATGTTTTACCCAGCATGCAGCAGGATCACAAACTAAAGCCATGACCTCAGCCTGGCGGACGGCGGCGTGGGCTGTGGGCGGACGGCGCCAGCCATCGATCTCCGCCTGAATACCGGCAGCCGCCATCTTTCTTCCTCCAGCAATGACAAACAGCTGCAGGAGGAATGCAGCCGTATCAGTAAAAAGACAGAACATGCCTCAGGAGGAAACCCGACACAAGGTCGGACCGCCGGGATCAAACCGGGTCGGACCGAGACCACGGGGTCAGGCGGTGGAGCCACAGGCAGCGACTGAAGAAAACGATTATTAATGGTGACGTTCAGCTGAGGCTGCAGATAAAAACAGACTCATTTCTCAGCTGCCAAAAAACAAGAACAAACTGCTGGCTTTAAAACTATCCTGAAAATAGATTAAAAGTTGAAGAATTAATGCCGTTTTATGTGCTATGTTAACTTCAACTCTTAAGAAAATACTATAAATATGACAAAAGCAATTTGCCTTTGTAATTTAAAACCTTGAAACTGGGTCTCTGTCTCTTTAAGAAGCTCCTGCTCTTTCTGAAGCTCCGCCTCCAGGAAGTCATCCCAACATGGCTCCTCTATTAACCCTTTAACATTTTTACCAGACTTGCTCTGAGCAGCAGCTGCTATAGTGAGCTCAGCAGCTCCACCAGATGTTTGCTAATTGCTGCTGGCTAGTCTGGAGGAGCAGTCAGCAGCTCCTCCTGGCTGCTGGCGATGCACAGACAGTGGATTCACGTCTGTGAGCAAAGCTAAAAATGAAAACTGAACTCAACACCTGAAGATGATTAAAGTCACTTTAGTTTGGCGTTTCAGGCATACCGTATAGACAAGATGGCCGCCAGAGTAGATTTGCTCTCCAAAATTAAATCTGACGTTTTTGTCCTAATTAAATCCAGACTGGATCCAAAAGAGGTCACACTGATGTCACCGTTACCAGTTTGGATTATATGCTGAAGACGATTATTTCTCTGCTGCCCCCTGGTGGCCACAGAGCCCTGCAGGTCTAAATATTTCACATGATGTAACTCTGCTGTCTTACTGTCCTGTCAGGGTCCAGCCTGCGCTTGGACCCCGTGTGGCGCTGCGCCTCCGACTGCGGGTGGCAGCAGTTTATGGCCTGTCCCTCCTGGCAGGCAGCAGGAGAGTGATGCCATCCCAGAATAGGCCCCTCTGTCACAGATCCACAGCAGCTGTTCGCTGCACACTGAGCTCCGGTTTCTATTCTGAACGAACCTGCAGCGCCGCACACAGCCGAGCTTTTACTCAGACCCCGAAAAAATAGTTTGTAAAATGCTAAATGTGAAAATGAAATGTTTACATGAAGAGCTAAAAGGAGGCAAAGCAGTCTGGAAAACACTACAAGCAACTTGTTAACACTTTAGGCAACTTAAAAACCTGATTTCTTTGCTCTTATTGTTGCTTCTGAATGTGTCCTGATGGTGGCGCTCAACACAATGACCAGATAAACTTCAGCTGAATAAAACAGTAGAAGAAGAAACGTTGGTCAGAACCCCTGAGATTTTCTCTAAAATATTCAGAATGACATGCAGTTTGAGAAGCTGAAACACTCAGATGCTATGCTAACTAGCTGCTGTTAGCATCACGGCTGTTAGCCTCTGCGTGTTCAGAGAGGAGCTACATGTTAGCACATTTCAATAATTCACCAATCAAATAAAAGGTGGAGCTGCTGAAGCTTCAGTCCCAGTCATCAGTTCATCATCAGCTGCAGATGTCAAAATTCCACTAAGGCCAAAAAAAAACATCATTTCACAATTTCCATTAAATAAGACACATAAAAATCACGTGAACAAGTTTGTTCACACCATAAATCATTAAAAATCGCTGCGCCATCATCCTCCAACCACTTCCTGTCGTCTTCAGGGTTTTTGCCAGGATACAGAATAATGTATAGTTAATGTAAACATTAATTTACATTACTGAGTTTAAAGTCACCCTCAGTAAAAAACGTCCAGGATGAATTCATATCAATTAAAATCTCATTTTGCTGTTCCTGTTGGGTTAGACCCCCTCCTCTCTGCTGCTCCACCTTCAGCTCCGTCCATAAACAGCAACAGAAACAAGCAGCAGCCCTGATTAATCCACTCTGGAAACCAGTTTATCCTCCTGGAGGACTGGTTTCCAATCCTCCCACAGCTCCCTCCACTGAATCCGAAGTTCCAGCTCAGACTCCAGAGATCCTCCCTGTAATCCTTTAATAAGAAATAATTTACATTTGATCTGAGAGAAACTGGATGTGAAAAAGCAGCTGATTGTCTCCATCAGCTGATCTGAACAACGAATGAACAATTTATTGAGTATTTAATAGAGATAAAACACTCAGATCGGCCCATCAGAGCATCGTTGGGTTTGGTCTTTAATAGGCAGAAGATAAATGAAACGTTACACAGTCAGAGATAAAGCAGTAATTTGGGTTATTTAGTGTCAAAAACGGCTAAAAGGGTAAAAAAAACAAAGACATTCATTCATTTATAAACGTCACAGTTTCTAACTGAATATTTAATTAGCAAGCTAAATATTTATTAAAGATCTAAATATTTAGAGTGAAATATTAACTCTATGTTAACTAAATATGTAGTTAGTTCTGGACAAGCTAAATATTTATCTAGTTACCGAAGCATTTAGTTTGGAGCTTAATATTTAGCTTATAAACTAAGCAGTTAAAACTTTAGTTTGACGCTGTGGTATTTGTGAATGAATGAATAACTTTTTGTTTCATGCAGGCTGAATAACCCAAATTATTGCCTTTTATTTCCCCATAAATCCAGGAACCACAGAGTCTGATGCTCTGATTGAAAGCTGACTGTCCTGTTGGCCCGAAGCCGACCCGCCTTCAGTCAGACAGAACCGGATCCGCAGCCCGTCCATGTTCCTGCTGGTTCGGACTCTTACGGATCAGAACAGGTTCCTGCAGATGAAAGGCATTTGGTTCATCCAACAGCTGCTGTTTCTGGCTCTAACTGAGGCGTCGCTCCGTATTTTCCTGCTTCCAGCCGACCTGATCAGGGTCTGCTGCCCCCTCTCCATAACGATGAAGCTTTTCCTATAAATTACCGCGTCAGAGTCGAGGCTCTTCTGAGTCTGACCTTCAGCTGCCCTTCGTTTCACTGCTGCTGCTGCTCAGCCTCCTAATGATGTGACTTACAGTTCATCAGTTAACATCTGGCCCAGTTTTCCTTTATTCCTGATAATTACTCTACGGTTCCTCTTAAAGAAAAATATCCGCCTTCTTCACTGACTAAACTCAGATTTGAGCTTCAATGTTTTTCAGTTTAGATGGGATTCGTAATCGGTGCGCGCTGAGCTCGACCAGGCAGATTGGGTTTAAAACGGGCATTTCAAACCCAATCTGCCTGAATCTTCTGCTGAAGACGGAGAATCGTTTTAAAATGAATCGTTTTAAAATGTCAACCTGAAGACGGAGAATCGTTTTAAAATGAATCGTTTTAAAATGAATCGTTTTAAAATGTCGACCTGAAGACGGAGAATCGTTTTAAAATGAATCGTTTTAAAATGTCGACCTGAAGACGGAGAGTCGTTTTAAAATGAATCGTTTTAAAATGTCGACCTGAAGACGGAGAATCCCCCTCAGGGTGAATTCAGTTCAGTCCAAATGATCAAAATCTACTTTGGTTTTCTAGAAAACCCAGTTGGTTCGGAGAGGTGTGAATGCATCATCGACCAAATTCTGGCCGTTTCTGGTTGAAGTGAACTCAGGAAGCGGACGAGCCCAAGGCATTCTGGGTAAATTAAACCAAAACAAAAGTGCTAGACTAAAGAGAAATCCTCCAACCACTAAAATTTGACGCCTCCATCTTGTTTCCATCTGGTGAAGAAGGAAGTTGCTCTCAGTGTCTTCAGAGGTTTTTGTGTCGTTTGCTTCAGTGGTTGTTGGTGCAGCGCCCCCACAGGCCAGGAGGGGAACAGGTTGGTTTGACTCAGAGCAGCTGGAGATGAGCAGGTGGTGAAGGTTTGGTCCCAAATCAAACCAGGTCTACTGGACTATCAGGTGGGAAAACCCCCTGAAACTGAACGCCTCCCTCTCTGGTTTCAGTCCAGGCGCTGACGGCTTCACAGACCTTCGCGGCGTCTCGTCTTACCTGGTAGATGACCACTCTGAACTTGTTGCGCGTCAGCAGCTCGTCCTGCGTCGTTTCCACCTTCTTGACTCGGACGTTCTGCTTCTCCACGCGCGTGCGGACCTCCTTGACGTTGGCGCTCACCTTGCGGGTCTTCTGCAGGAGCTTCTCCACGGTGCCGCTGGTGTCGCTGTGGTCTTTGGCCAGCTTCAGGACGTCGCCCTGGATGGTCTTGATGTTGTTCTCCAGCTCCAGCTGACGCTCCTCCATGCGCTGCTGGCAGGACTGGACGTTGTCGATGATGCCGGCCACGCGCTCCAGCAGAGACAGGATGGTGAGGGCGCTGATGGGGTTGCCGGCCTCGTCCTCCACCCCGATGATCTCCAGCTTCTCCTGGACGCCTGCCGAGTGCAGCTTGTGCTGATCCATTGGGGACGTTTTGGGAAACGTAAATGTGCAGGTTCGGTCGGAGGAGCGTTGGGGTACCAGCAGGAGACCAGAGTGGCAACACCCAACCGCTGTGACCCAAACTCAGTCTGGGAGCAAGAGAGACGGGAAACTCCACCTACCCCCCTTTAAAAATAGGTGTGAGGACACTGAAGGCTCCAGATTCAGATCTCCATGGGACGTGGGCCAGACACTAAACTCTGAGCCTGCAGAACCGCCCGCCCAAGCTAAAAATATGAGCTCCCTGTAAGGCGACACTTTGACATTTCAGGCGATGCAAGCAGCCCTCTGAGTCCTGCGACGCTTTGTTACCCGTCATGCACAGTGATTCATAATTTCCAATAATTTCCACTTCTGTTCCTGTAAGCAGCTGTGAAACATGTACATCAGCAGGAGTCATCCTGCGTTCCTGCAGCGACAGTTGTGCCATTCCCTCTGGTTGCTCAGAGCAGCTCTGCCCTTTTACTTTCCCCTGGGCAGCAGAGTCCAAACACTGAGATCTGAAGGCGTTCATAGAGCCGACGGCTCCACAGCATCAGCCGCCGAAACTCTAAACAGACACAGATACGCAGTCTGAGTACGACCCGCGAGGAAAACCGAGACAAAACGCCTCTCATCATCTGGCAAACAATTAAATGAAAATGTGCTGTGAAGCATTTAAATTCAGATTTGTTCCAATGCTTGAAATTATACTGAAGTGCTTTTGTAGTTCATAATTTACTTTTTAAAGTTGATCAAAATTTCTAGGAACCTTTAATTTGAAGTCTGTCACTTCCTGTTTTCCTGGGGTACAGATATAACGTTACACAGGTGCCATTTTGATTTTTCCCAAAAATGCTGATTAATTAATTAGGCAACTAATTACATTTTTGTTTATATAAAAAGCTCCAAATGGAACCTTTGTTTTTGCATGTTTCTGGTACATCTGTACATCTGATGCACAAGCTACATCCGCTAACAGCAGCAATGGAAAACTGATGAGATTGCCAACATTTATCAACACGTTCAGTTTCAATTTAATTCAAAAATACTTTATTTATTCAAGTGTTTGGTCCAGAGAAGCAGAAGCCAAAATATCCAACATGTTGCACAAAACCTCCACAACGTTTGTAACCTACAGAGAAGATCAGAGTTACTGGAGACGTTTTGGATAAATTATATGAAACCGTTCAGGGAAATGGCTAAAGCTAGCATTTAATAAAAAACATGTCAACATTTTAAACGTGTCTTCAAATTATAATTTAATTTAACTGGATCTTAATCCTGAGCGTTGGAGGGTCTGCAGGGCCCCATGTGGCCCCGGAGCCGCCGGGTCCAGACCAACATGGAGTCCAAACGTTTCGTCACTGTGGTCAACAACTACATGCAAAATTCATGCAAAAAATATATATTTTTTTAATTTTCCTGATAATTGATAAGTGAAATTTTAATGAAATCTATAAATCCTTAAAGATCCAGAGCATAAAAAGGTTTCAAACTGCTGCCTTGTTAAAAGAAAAACACAATTTAAACATTTTTGGGATGAACTATTGATTATCGGTCACATTTTCTGCCGTTCATGATTTGCAGTCAGGGGCCGATCAAAATCATTTCAAGGGTCACAAATGGCCCCCAGGCCACACTTTGGACACCCTGATCTAGAGGACAAATGGGCGGTCAAAGATCCGTCTCTAATCACCACAGCTGTAGCGTCTGTCCATCATGGTGACCATTTATCTTGAACTTTGGATGTTTTTCTCCACTGAATGAATCCATGAAGTTTCTTTCAGCTTCGCCAGCCGGACAGGAAACCGTCTGAAGTTTGGTTGGAGAACTGGAGGTAATTCCTGAACAATGGAGTCATGAGGAGCCCTGCTGAATGCAGCGGACTGAACCGAGCAGCTGCTGCTGCCCCGAACGCCCAACACAGAGAGAGAGAGAGAGGACACACACACACACAGAGAGAGACACACAGAGACACACACACACACAGAGAGAGACACACAGAGACACACACACACCCCTTCAGCCTTTAAATATATATCCCCC